GCCCCACAACAGCCATCAACTACGTGGCCACCAAGTGTGTAGACACAGTCAAGCAAAGACAGGAACCAACATGGTTCACGCCCTGGGGTCTTAACCCCTGCGACAAGATCCAGACCTTTGAAGAGGCTATGGCCAAGAAGATTGGGGCCAACAATATTGTGTTTGCTGTCCACATTCCTATGCGCAACATGGAAATGAGCCCCTGGTTCCAGTTTATGCTGGTCATCCTGCAGTTCGACATTGCCTTTAAGATGCGCAACCAGATAGGTGGGAACCAAGGCTTTCTAAGGGTTTTCAAAAGTTGGTGGGGGCAGCACATTTTTCAGTGTTTTTTTTTTTTTTTTTTCTTGTTGTGTTAATATTTTTGTCTATTTCTTAGTTTCACAATCTGAAGGAAAATTATTGCTCTGTGAGACCAAGATGTCCTTTGAAATATTCACATCCATTGTCACTTCTAATATTTCACATGATAAATTCCCTGCAGTCATGCTAACTAGTAATACTGGTTAAAGGTCTTATATTCCTCACAGATCATTGTGGTAGGATTCTGTCTTGTGTTTTTTATTTCACTTTATTGTGGTAAATGCTTGAGGTACTCAGGAATGTGTCTTTTTCAGTAGATTGGATTTCTGTTACACTGAAAGGCAGCAAACGATGATGGATATCCTGTTGCTTGTTCTCTATAGCAGCAGAGACCCTCAGGGGGTTTTGTAGACTGGCTTGTCAAGACACCCTTGAAGTTTAAAGATATAAAGAGATAGGGTAGAGCTAATCTGGACCAGTTTCTTGTTGGTTGCTTTTAGCTATCAAATATTATCTGGTCTTGAGACCCAAATCATTTATTTGGATTTGAGATCATGCCAGTTTAGTGAATCCGTTTTCTACATTTGTGTTTCTTTTTCCTTCCTCTTTTTTATTGTGAAGAAGATGAATTACAGTTCTAATCTGTGTAGTGATTGGTATGACTTCATTATGTTGACTTTGTGCATGTAAAATCAGTATAAATGTGGATTTTTGGCCCACTTTTCAGATTGAAGTAACTGTACATGAGGTGACACATGCAGTCGGTATGGAAAGTTTTCAGACCTTTTCAAGTTTTTTCACATTTTGCTATGTTTCAGACTCATCTTAGGTGAATTCAGTTCATTTTTTAGTCAAAAAGTAGTGGCCAAATGATCATCACCTCACTAATACCATCCCCACAGCCTGATGCCACCACCGTGTTTGACTGTAGCAATGGTCATAGTGAGGTGATGCTCAGTGCCTGGTTTTCTCCACACACACTGTTGGAAATTGTGGCCAAATAGTTCAGTCTTTTTTTCATCAGACCAGAGGAGTTTGCTTCTTGTTGTCTGAGAGTCCTTCAGGTGCCTTTTGGCAAACTCCCATGTGTCTTTTAGTGAGGAAGGGCTTCTGTCTGGCCACTCTACCATAGAGGCCTGGTTGGTGGAGTGCTGTGCTGACGGTTGTCCTTCTGTAAGGTTCTCCCATCTCCAGAAAGGAACTCTGGATCTCATTCATAGTGACCTTTGGGTTCTTGGTTTCCTGCCTAACCAAGGCCCTTTGTCCCTGATTTCTCAGTTTGGCTGGGCGACCAGATCTGTGAAGACTGGTGGTGGTTTAAATCTCTTCCAGTGAGAATGATGAAGATTACTGTTCTCTTGGGCACTTTCAGTGCTGAACAGATGTTCTTGTATCCTTCCCCAGACCTTTTGTTTTGACACAATCCTGTCTCGTGGGTCTGTGGACAGTTCTGAAGTATCTTTAAGCAAGCAAAACAAACCTCAGTTTAAAATGCATAACCTAAGGTGGATTCACATTAGGGACCCATGCCTGGATCCGAGTACACTTGGTCTGGTTCATTTGATCAGAGTAGACACAAGCGTACCTGACTCTGGCATGATGCTCGAGTCTGAAGAGGTGGTCTTGAGCACGATTCACACGCACTCGAGCATGGACTGCGGGAGATGTAAATGCAACTGTGTTCAAACAATGAAGTGGCTTGCTATAACTATTTGGCCCTGTCTTTTTAAACATTAACAAACATGTTTGCAAAAGGATCTGTGTGGAGTAACGAAGAAGTAAAATACTTGCTTGAAATTTGGGCTGACAAAAACATACAAAGACAACTGGATACAACACGCAAAAACTTTAAGATTTATGGAAGTATTCATCAGTATTTACATGCACGTGGAAGAGAAACAAATGTCGCCCGTTTGATCATGCGAGTGGTTGCTGCTTCATAGTTCTTCTTGGCAGATTGCGAAGCGAGGACATGCCTGCTGCTGCTTATTGTGTACATACACACGTGGGGCACGGAATGATGTTACTAATGTGAAAGCAGACATGTGGGGGGAGGGGCGAGCAATCATGCTCGGGCACTGTATGAAATAATCATGCCTAATGTGAAAGCGCTCTTAGTTTATTTTAAGATCTTGGGGCAGGAACTTAACTACCTATGTATGTAAACCTAGCCTTTTGTGCATGGTGTGACAAATAGGCTGGCTAAGGTCTACTGTGATGAGGGAAACACACCGCCATATTTACTGTGCTGTAAGCATCTCCACCCAGTGTCAAACAGTGTTGTGAATCAGTGCTGAAAGACCTACTACATCTCAGTGCTAAAGGGAGAGGTAGGGAAATAACTGGTATCTTGCAGAAGATGGTTTGGTATCTTGGCAGGGTGCCTGGGACCCTGAAAGCAGGGATTAGATTAGGACGGATTGGAAGGAAGTCTTATAAGAGACCCTGGGAAAGAAAGTGTGACTGAATTAAATCTACACTGGCTTAAAATTAACAGAAAACTAAGAGGTAGTTGTATCTTATCTAGAGAACAAAATGTTTTAAAACTTGAATTGTCTTTTTTTTTGTGACCCATCCTTTCTGGTCTGGCTTGTCTAAACAGTTACGTTACAGTGGCGGCCGTGTATTCAGCCTCATTTACTTGTTCACATTCTTGGCCTCATTGGAAATGCGTTAAGGGGCTGTGGCTTGTTTACTGCTTGGCTGCCAGACAGGCCAGTCAGTGAGTCAGCTTGGACCACAGACAAGTCTTTCTGCCAGATGTTAGAAACTCATTTTGATCTTTCTGAGCTACAGGACATACTGTGAGAACAAGTGGACATAGAGGGAGCTGAGTACAGTAGATACTGCATAGAGAAGAGACTAGGTAGTGCTGTAGATCTCATTCATTTACAGCTGATTTGATTTCTCCAGAGATGAGGTGTGCTAAAGAGGGGAACATGATTTAAAAAAAAAAACAACCTAGCTCATTTCAAGTAGCCCAAGGTACTTCTTCCTATATTCTGTCTTCTATCACTCATCCTTAATAGATAGCTGGCTTTTTCTTGATTTCCTGTCTCAGATGTGATTCTCACTTGTTTAATTTTGATTAAGTTAAACCCAGTACTACATTCAAGACTCTTAAAGCTCTTTTTAACATCCAACATCTAGCAAGATATGAGAGATTAAAAAATAACTATTATTGCAGTTACTGTTGCATTTTGACTTTTATTTGGTAAGGTGCACATTCATCTGAGGCCAATAATTCTGTTTCTCATAATTAAGACCATGGTACAAGCATACAAGAGGTCATTTAGCCTAATGGACTACAGGTTGTACAGAACAGTTCTGCTTTGTTTCGGTTTTTTGAAATCATTAAGACATGACTTTTATTAATTAAAACAGTTTAACTAAACCAAAACAGTTTTGCTAAAGATTTGAAAGGAATCATATGCCGTACCGAATACTGGGCTCAGATTTAATAAAATGCTAGGAAACTCCAGCCAAGTCCATCTGAATCCTGACCAGAGCACTTGCTGTGCCAGAGGTAGGCAGATTCTTCTGTGCAGCTGCGTGAACATAAGAACGCCTCTTCCTCTACCACCATATCTCTGTGACAATGTTCATCCCAGACAAGAGCTTCGCCCCCATTAACCACTCACTCCACCTGCCCCAAGCACCCGCTGGCCGGGGTCCAGCAATAACACAGCTGTTGAGGAGGTTTAGTTTCCGTGGTGATGGCAACCGGACTGGAGTGGAATGTGTGCATGAAGTGGGCTGACGTTCGAGGGCGGCTGGCTCGATCAGTGGCAGAGGGCAGACATTAGAGAGACAGTCTGCTGCCAGTTCTCATCTACTTCCCTCTCCTCCTTTCTCTTTTTTGTCTCACAGGCCACTGGGTTTCTTTCTGTTGAGTCCAGCTTGTTTCATAACTGCACAAGAGGCACTCTGGAGGGCTGGAGGAGAGAACACTTGGCTTTGTAATGTGATCTAAAGATGCAGTTTTAATAGCTTTGCTTTAGATGTTTTTTTGTTGGATTCACTGGACTGGTCTGTTGGAGGCCAGCTCAAGGTCTTATTGAAGTTTATGTAAAGAAGGGCAGACCCTAGAATTGGGGCCACCGTGGTGCACGGAGTTACTGATTGTTTATATGCAGAGAAATAATCCTATTAATCTGACATTTGGTAACACTCAGATGATTTGACCTTGTGTAAAAGTTTGGTTTTAGAACAAACCAACCATAGCCACTCCAGTTGAAAATATATAGCTTTATAAATGAACAAAGATTCTTAAAACAGACACTGATTTAAACAAATTGTTCATCCTCGTCTTCCTAACACTGTACCACACTGGACATGACATTAGCATGTGACACACTAGCATGTTACCTGAAAATGAACAGTACATTTTAGATTTGTGTCACATTGCTGGTCTTGTAGTTAAAAGGCCACGCCTTGTCTGTCTTCAGGACTTCATTTTATTCTGTCACAGGGATAATAGCCAGCAGGGTTATTAGGTTATGAGGAGGTATAACATCAAATCCACTCACACTGGTGTGCATCAAAATGCACACCAATGTGAGTGGATTCTTCAAAGCATTTTTCCATGTTTCCAAAATATAGGAATGCAAATTATCTGCAAGACTGAGCACTTTCAATATAGTAAAATAAAGTGGCTCAGTAACTGCATTCACAAGGCATTCAAACAGTTTTACCTGCCTACCAAATGGTTGCATGAGCTGAAAAGCAAATGACCGTGTTAATTTATGTTTCCAGAGGATGGAGCGGTGGTCAGCATTGATGTGCGTCTGGCCTACAGAGACGATGCAGTCAGTGAGTGGACAGAGATGGCTCACTCTTTTGAACAGAGGAAACTCAGCTGCAACTTTACTTCTACCAAGGTGAGGAAATTGCACTCTGGACGTCACCGTTATAGATCCTTTGAATGCCAAAGATATTAATCTTCTGAGTTGGTAGATTTTACCATACTGTACCACACTGGTACAGTATTATGACATGTTTGTCAGTTTCCTTTGCGTGAACTGTAGCTTCTGTGGATACTGTTGGATAAGCACAGATAAATAAACCAATTGAATTTTGTTTCAAATGAAGTCTGAAATAGAAGTGCAGGCGTCTGAGACACATTCTCATTTTCAGTAGAGATCAGATAAAGCCCAATGGCCACAGCGGGCCACCTGCTGGGGATATGTGGTGGCCACACAGTAACTTTTGTGGCCTTGGCCATTGGGCCATAGTTAATGTCAAACCCTGTCTAAGTATGTATATCATCCTGGCATGGCAGTTTTTCAACACTGGAGACTTGAACCTGTTTGTTCAGCTGTCAGTCAAACACCATGCCACACAGCCTGGCTGAGGCTTTTCAGTTATCCATCCATCCATTTTACCTTTTATCCTGAAGAGGGTTGTGGGGGTGCTGGAGCTGATCCCAGCCGTGAATGGGCGATAGGCGGGGTACACCCTGGACAGGTCATTAGTCCATCACAGGACAGACACTTAAAGACAACCAACCACATACACACTCCTATGGGCAATTTAGAGTCACCAAACAACCTAAGCTACATGTCGGGGACTGTGGGAGGAAGCCAGAGTACCTGGAGAGAACCCACGCAGGCACACGCCTGTTCAATTATTTGGACTGAATTAAGTTTTTGACTTGAATATTATTATTATTAAATGCATTTAAAATGGCAGTTGTATTCAGATGGATTGATATTTTAACTAGAGGCCGTGTTGATGCTATGTCCTTTCCAGGCCCTTGAGAATGAGGGACGTTACTATGACTGTGACTTACTACCCTTTATGGAAGTTGGTAGCGTGGCCCATAAGTACTATCTTCTCAACATTCGCCTGCCTATCATCGAACGCAAGAAGGTCAACGTGGGGATCGGAGAAATCAAGGACATTCGTCTTGTTGTAAGTTTTTATTTGTTTTATTTTTTATTGTCACCTGAATTTTGGTCCACTGCTTAATTTTAATCCACACACAGTCAAGGCTTTTTGTCGACTGTTAGTGACAAATCAGCCCTTGTTGGCCAAAAATAAAACCAAGTCCAGATGATGTTTTTTTTTTTTTTGTTTTTTTTTTAATTCCCAAAGTAATATACACAACACACAGATGACACTTGCTTTCTTTGATTCTCCTCTAAGGGCATCCACCAGAACGGTGGCTTCACCAAAGTTTGGTTTGCCATGAAGACGTTCCTCACTCCCAGTATCATCATCATCATGATCTGGTACTGGAGACGCATCACCCTCATGAGCAGACCCCCTGTGCTGCTGGAGAAGTAAGCCTGCTCTCTCCTCATCAGTATGACAGTGGTGTTCTGTGCACACCACTGCACTGTAACGTTACATATTTTATTCATAAATGGTTAAACTCTTGCCACCTTAATTTCAGGTGAAACAGATATCCCAAGATGACAGACAACTTTTGTTTTAAACTGATGTTGATTCAGTTGTAATAAAGGATAAATGATGCTTATTTTGAAGAAAGTAGGGACCCACAGCAATTGTTTTAATCTAAGCCACAGGCTTTGCTTCAATGCGTCTACTGGGTGAAGGCGCATTGGATGAAACATACAAGTAGGTCATGCTAACTATGCAGCCAGGGTCACTGAGAGCAAGGTTCGAGCGTCTGAAGAGGAATGTTGATGCAGTGTTCAACAGTTAGCAAGGTGGTGTAAGCAAACAAATCAGAGAAAATATTTGTGGTTTTGAAGATTATGATGAACTGAAAAAGGCACACTTCATCATTCTTTATACTGGGGGGTGGATTCAAAGCATCAGATATTTGTGTTCATTCATTAATCAGGCTTTGTAAATCTATGCACATAAAGGCTTAATGCAGGTAGTTGTGCCTGCAGCAGATAGTTTGAATGCCATGCTGTGGAAAGTTGAAGTTATGCTCTGAGCCCAGTGTTGGTCTAACCCCCTGCTGTGTTGAGAAGACAGATCAGTAAGAGGCAGTGTTCTGCACCACAGGAAGTGCCTGGTGAAGCGTGAAACGCGTTACAAAATCTGCAAGCTAGCACTCAGCTGACACACACATTCAGGACATAAACACCAGCTAGTGAGACACCACACAGCATACCAACACACACACCCACACCCTTTCCGTCTGTCTTTTCCAGCTCAAGGCTCTTAACTCCCAAATGACCAGCAGACTCTTAGGAAGCACAGTTCGTACCCTATTTGTGGATAGTGGCTGATTTATTTATTTTTTTCTTCATGCTATAAAAGCTCTACCAGTCTCCTGTCATGCTAGTCCACAGAGGGGTCACAATGGTAAACCTCATGCTTCCTCTAAACCTAAAGGACAGATGTGAGTGGTTACTGCTAATGTTGTCGATGGCTCAGGATTATATAATTCATAAAATGAGTTATTACACTCAAACATCCATCTTCATCTTGTTACATCAGAAACTTTTATTAAAACTGTAAACAACAGACATTGTGACTTGTCATATTAGTTTAAGCTCAGTTGGGTTTAGTAACATTCACTTTGTTCAGTTAAATGTATCAGAGTTAACATATTCAGTACCAGGGCCCAATAGAAAAATGGAATTAGTGTTGTTGGGGGACGCCTGTTGTTTTCTTGCCCTCACATATCAAAGTTTGTTGAGTATACTACATTTTCATATCCTGTGTCAAGTCTTCTGTCTTTGTACACGCACAGATTGATACTGACCTTAGTTCTCCTGTCTGTGTTGGTGGTGCTTAGCATTCCCTGCATACCAGGCAAATGTGGTTTCACTCTGTTTGGATTGTAGGATATTGCTGAGAACCTGTATTACATTAGTTCTGTTACGCAGTGTTTGTACCCATGTATTTTAAGGTCACCTTATATTATTTTTGTCTCAGTCTCTCACACAAACGCACACTATGTCTCTGTTTTGCCCTCCTAACTGACTATTTACAATAACCCTTGCATCTGCTGGCGGCATGCAGAGACCTGCTGCAGACACCCGGAAGACAAGCTCTGCCCTCTTTCTGTAGGCTGATTGTTCATAATTCGTTCACCCTTGTTGCTCTCCAACTGTCTGGACTCAAATATTTAGGGAGATTGGCTGTAATAGTCTGGCTGCTTAGAAAAGCAGTGAATTATGTAGAATTGGATAGGTCAGTGGGGACACACTGTACTTGTAGCTGAGTGGATAATCTAATCAGTAATGCCCAGAGATCTAATGAGCCAGCATCAACAGGCACAACTGTGGCCTCCAGTACTCTAAACAGCGATTGTGTATGTTTAAAATATGTAGTTCAGATTCAGATGCAAAGGTTTCGGTTCAAGTTGCCTTGTCATCTGCCAGCACTCTTAACACTTCCTGCTTGCAAAAAAAAAAAGGTTTACTCAGGGGTTGTAGCTCTTCAGTTTCCTCCATGTATCCTCGTTTAATGTACTAGTGTGAACAATCCCTGTTGATGCTACAGGATTGTATGGATAATATGGATTTTGATGATTTGAATGTAACAGTCATAAATGAGCATCAGTAGATACTCTAAATCTAAAGACATGTTTCATGCATGCTTCAAAAGTGGCATAATCCTTCTTGTAATTCAGTGATATTGATAATGAAAGATGAGTTTTAAGACAGTTTTTGCTCCTTTAGGGTAATCTTAGCTCTGGGCATTTCCATGACATTCATCAACATCCCTGTGGAGTGGTTTTCTATCGGCTACAACTGGACCTGGATGCTGCTTTTTGGAGACATCAGGCAGGGCATCTTCTACTCTATGCTGCTCTCCTTCTGGATCATCTTTTGTGGGGAGCACCTCATGGTACTGTACTCAACGCCTATTTATTTAATTATTTAGTTAAGTCTTCTGGCTTCCCTGCAGGCTTGCTTGCCAGCTGCGATCTCCCTCACAGTCATTTAGTTCTAAAGGTATTGATTGTATCTCAGATAAAACTGAGTGAGTGTTTCTAGGAATGCTTCCTTATTTCAGGTTAATATAAAAGAGGTGTAGAGCATTACCAGCATTCAGTAAACCTTAACCAAGCAGGGATCTGAGTGTTCCTGGTTGTTTTATTTTCATCCTACAGCCTTGAAACGTATTCATTGGCAGGCTTTCTACCAATATAACGTGTCAATTATACACGTGCATTTAATGTGTCTGCAGTCACCACTTTACTACCTTCTAAAATAACACTTAAACAAAATTGAGTGCTTTGCTAGGATTAGCGTTCATGTACTGTATTTGTAGATACAATGGCAAAAAGGTAAGGGAATTACCTGGTTTTCTACATGATTTGGCCATAAAATATGACCCAATCTTCATCTAAGTCACAAATATAGACAAACACAATGTGCTTAATGTGATAGCTGGTTGGAGCTCCTTTGGCAGCAATAATCTCAGCCAAATGCTTCATGTAGCTGTGGATCAGACCTGCACAACTTTCAGGAGGAGTTTTGGGCCAGTCTTCCTCACAGAGCTGCTTTAGCTTGGCCATATTCCCAGGATGTCTGGTGTGAACGTCTCTCTGAGCTCAGTCCATAGTTGAGGTCTGGGCTCTGACTGTGGAGATCTTTTGTTGTTTTGAAGCCATTCTCTAGTAGATTTGCTTTGTTGCTTAGGGTCACTCTGCTGCTGCATCACCTGACGCCTTCTCAGCTTCAGCTTGTGGACAGCAACCCTGAAGTTATCCTGTAGGAAATTTCATTTTCCCCTCCACAATGACAAACTGTTCAGGCCCAGAGGTGGTAAAGCAGCCTCAAATCATCACACTGTACTTTACTGTTGGAGTGATGATCCTGTTGCATTTTGTAACCAAGCCATGTAGAAAACCAGATAATTCCCAGTGGTTTACTTACTTTTTCTTGCTGCTGTACACTTTACATTGCAGTAGTCTTCAAATTATCAATAAAATAACATTCAGTGCTTTTAAAAGTATTTATTCCTCACCTGTTGGATACTGATCTTTTGTTGTTTCTCTAAAATTGATCTTGAGTGGACGTAAAAAGACATTTGCCTTTGAGATGAATCTTTGACATTAGTTACTTGGATACCAGATTATTAGTTGTATATTTATTGGATATTTACACATTAAATGCTGCAATACGACTTAATGTTAAAACCTATAAATAAAAAATAAACTTAGGTGTTGGTCCATATTATTATGCTGTCATTTCTGTCCAGGAATCACAGAATTTTGCTGTATGGGTTCTGGGCAAAGGACAAGTGAAGATGTATGAGAGCTGTGTATCAGCCATCAAAATCATCACTCAGTCTGACCTTCATCCCACAAATAACCTGCAGGTCATTCTTATCTGATTGTAGCTTGACCTGGTGTGTGGCACATTTCCTCGCTGTACAGAGGAGCCATTACTTTGACAGCCTCTTTGATGAGCTCCATGTCTGCCTCCAGCAGGCCGATGGTGTCTTTGTACCCCTCCTCAGCTCTCTGGGCATCAGGTTGTTTCTCTCCTGTTGGCTGGCATGCTGAGGGCTAATTGTTTATGTGAAAGTGATTTAATTTTCTTCTGAGCTGCCTTGAACTGCCATGACTGGTAACATGTTACTGACATGATCTATTTCTAAACCTGATTGCTTTTCCTCCTGGTTCCGCCTAGTACAGATAAGCTGTATACACCTCTCTTGACCTCTTCATCACCCAGTCTTTGGATATGTAGTGCTTGGTCACAGCCATTCTGAATACCTTTAATTTATCTCCTCACTTTCTCCTGTAATGGAGATGTGGGATCATCTTTTTCCAAATATTTTACATACATTTTCAAGTAGGTTTTCTGTTGATTTTAAAAGAAGGGAAGGTCCCTAGCGGCATTTTAATTGGTACATTGTGGATATGTGATACAAATCTGCTGCTGAGTTTCCAGGATGCCTCAGGTATATATGTGCATTTTGGTACAAATGTCTTTTCTCTCAGGACCAGACAGAGAGGAACCGTTTCTCAGTCTACTGGAAGCAGGTCGGACCCATTGTCTTTGGCTCCTTCTGCCTCTTTATCTTTGACATGTGTGAGAGGTATGTCTGAGATTTCTCTTATATTTTAGTATGCAGTACATTATAACAATATTAAAGTGAAGTTCTGTCATGTCTCTTTAAAGCCCAAATGTCATAAAATGCTATGACACTAAATATATACATTTCATTTGTTTTGTTTCACTAGAGGTATCCAGCTGACAAACCCCTTCTTCAGCATCTGGGCAACTGACATTGGAACTGAGCTGGCTGTATCCTTTTTAAATAATATTTGACATTAACAGTGACAGAGTGCTTCCTCAGTTGTGTAAGCAGCCTGGTCAAATGTAGGACATTCATTATACAGGCATCATGCGAACAGAAACATTCAGAGTGTAAATGGCCACATCATTTTTTTTTTAGTTTAGCGGCCAGTAAACACGTTTCTGGTTGCTACATGCTCTTCCCACTTTTGCAGTACATATATGAGAAGTTCTTCCACTTGGCTTTGGCATAAATTTAAACCTGTGTTCTGAGAAATAATTTAGCAATGCCATATGTGTGAAAGGATTGCCCAGGGTCTTGGGATGACGTATCTGTGTGTGTGGCTAATCAGCAAACCTCTTTGATTTAAACTGCTACATCCAAACACATTGCTCTTATTTTTCCAGTCTGTTTCCTCCTCTTTTTCCCTGAGACTCATCAAAAGGAAAAGCTCGCTTACTGTTTCTGACAGACATTTGGTACAGCATCTGTAACTAGGGTCCTCATCAAATCTTTATGAGGCCCACGGCTCACACGTTTTTGCCCTACCTTTTAGTGCAGTGACTCATGTTGAGGGTTTATAAATGAGAAGCATGACCCTACAAAGCATTTAATGTCAATTTTAATGTGTACAGATTTATAGGTTCTGATTGTGTAGATGCAAACAACTAGTTTCTTATACAAGTTGCTTTAGATAGGTGTTTTTTTTTTTTCTTCTTCTTCAGATGAACCTTTTGTATACTCTGCTATGCAGAAACACTGTTTGATTTTTATGAAACATTGTATCTATTGTTTTTTTCCCCCCCACACATCAGTTTGCAGTATATACTGTATAGGCCTACTGTACTGTATGGAATGCCACACTCAGGAGCTTATAAAGCTAAACCTGCATACTTTAGAATGATGACGGTGTATTTGTGTTCACATAAAAAATGTCTTCTGTATGCCCACTGTATGTGCCACCACCTTGTTGGCATATTCTTTTAAATTAAATGAGTGTTAGCTTTTTTTGTCTATTACCTTGACTGGTAGCCCTAACCCTCAGATGGCGTTCATAATTGTGGCAGGGATCTGTGCCTGTCTCTACTTCCTCTTCCTCTGCTTCATGGTTTTTCAAGTCTTCCGCAATATCAGTGGAAAGAGGACGTCCCTGCCTGCCATGTCTAAGGCCAGACGCCTGCACTATGAGGTGTGTGTCGTTTGTCACTTATGTTTGCTTCTCTTACTGCATTTGTTAATCATTACTCAAAACCAAAAAGAAGGAAAAAATGTCATGAAAGTGCAAGTGGACTGCTCTGTTACATGTCGTATGTTTTTGCTTGGCTTTCTTACATACTCATCCGCTTCATCACCTTTCAGGGTCTGATTTTCAGGTTCAAGTTCCTCATGTTGGTCACTCTGACCTGTGCTGCCATGACTGTCATCTTCTTCATCATCAGTCAGGTGAGTCTCACTTAGAAAATGACGCAAGTTTAAGTGTTGTCCTCCTCAGTAAGGATAAGTTAGGTGATAATTGAATAAATTATATGAATAAAACAATCACATTAAGTGTATCTATTTATCTTTGTCTGTGTCCAGGTTAATGAGGGTCACTGGCAGTGGGGAGAGCACACCGTGGAGGTGAACAGCGCCTTCTTCACCGGCATCTATGGCATGTGGAACTTGTATGTCTTTGCCATCATGTTCCTCTACGCACCATCTCACAAGCGCTACGGAGACGAGCAGTCAAGTGGTCAGTGCATCACTGGTAACTACGTTTTTTACTAGCTTTTTAAAGAAAAAAGCTGGAGTCCTCAATCGGTTAAGCCCTATTTGTATAGTACCTTTTATACAGGTTCACGCAATTCAAAATGCTTTACAGATGCAGTGGCTGTGGCTCATGAGGTAGGGCAGTCGTCTCCTGACCAGCAAGTTGGTGGTTCGACTCCCGGTCTCCCCGCATGCCTAAGTGTCCCTGAGCAAGACACTGAACCCTGAATTGCTCCCGGTGGCTTGACTAGCGCCGGTGCATGGCAGCCTGTCGTCATCGGTGTGTGAATGTTGTGTGTGAATGGGTGAATGGTGTATGATCTTCTGTAAAGCGCTTTGGCCAGTGCAACACACTGTGAGAAAGCGCTATATAAAATACAGTCCATTTACCATAAATGACCAAAATGCAGAATAAGGCAATTCAGTAAAAACAATTTTAACAAATTTAAATATGAATAATATTAATGAAATGAAAGCTAGATAGGGCTAGACGGACTTAAGTGTTACACAATGTAATTTTCTCACTGTATTAATTGAAGCTATTAAATTGGTAAAATATCATCAGTTTGCCAGTAGCCCTTACTTCATTCTGATGAGGAGCATGTAGCTGTTCTTCACTGTAGAGCTGCCTATTCATCCAAAGTTTGCTTTTGGAGGAGGGGGAGACCAGGGGATGATTGAGAAGGGCTTAGATTCCCAGGGGAAAGAAGGGTCTCGTTGGCCTGAGAGGGTGATTCTAATGGACGCCAAGCTTTCTTCCAGAAGGAAAGGAAGGGAACAGTGAAGAGGGTGGGTTTGAGAGCAGGGGAGTAATAACAACCATCCATCTATCTCTTGACATCAGCGCCACAGAGAGAAAAAAGGGTTTAAAGTCCTGGAAGCTTTCCCTGAAGTGTATCAGCAATCTTGCGGGAGGGGCGCCTCTCTCCAAGTTTCAGTCTCTGTGTTGATTTACTTTGTCAGCTCAAGTTTCACTTCTGTATTGAACAAACTGAAGGTATTTATGTTGATGAATAAATCAGCTTAATGTGCAGTGGATCATTGCCTGCAGTAATACAGATGGGGACCACACGAATCCAATTAACAAATACATGATCTTTTTACATGAATGTTTTGTAAAAATTACCAAAGTAATTTTGTTGATGATGTCCTGTTTGAGTACAGGAGATACCGGAGCAAACAGTGGAGAGGACCTTCAGCTGACCACTACCATCACCCACGTTGATGGTCCCACTGAGATCTACAAGTTGACTGGCAAAGAGGCCCAGGAGTAGATTTCACACTGTTCTTGAGACTCCCCTCTTCTAGCTACTGCTCCACTGATCCCCTCCCTTACATGTGGTTAAAGGGACTTTCTGTTCACATTCCCACAGCATCAGCAGTTCATTTTGCATGTACCTACCACAGTCCCTGCTATTTTCTCAGCAGCAAACCTTCAGCTGTATGACTTGTGTCATCCTGTTCCCTAAAGACATGTTGTATCTCTAAAGGCTGAATATTATCAACACACTCCTATCGGTCCTTTCCATTTCTTGGTGGATTTTTTTTTCTTACATTTCATACATAATATAAACTATGTTGTGTTTGTAAAGGTACCAAGTCGGGTACTGAAGAGCTGTGTTATAAAGATTAGTGTTAAGAAAACCATTATTTGTCAGTCAGGAGTTGTGTTCTGCAGCCCTTTTTTTCAGTGTGTTTACAGTGTTTGTAAAAACCAGGTTTTCTGACCGCATTGGCCAGCAAAAGTTATGGATACAGTTTAGCCCCTTGGTTTGATTTTCTGCATCATTACCTGGTATATTCTCAGTCAAAGCCTTTGGGATGGTTATATTCTTCTGTAGAAAGTGGTGGTGGAGTTCTTGCTTTATATCACTGGGGGCAATGTACAGACCACATTTTCACTTGGGAAATGCATACTGTATGTTCATCATGTTACAATGTAGATATCTATTTTTTATAAAGTGCTTATTTTCAACTTCACAAAATATGTGGATCAAGCTTTATCAGTTTTTGAAGCTGACTATAGCCCATTACATATTGTTCTTAGTGTTTTTATGCTAATTTAAATAAAAACCTTTTAGCTAATACCTCTAAGTATTGTCATACTATTGGCTCTAAATGATTGAAATGTGTATAAAAAAAAGTATTGTTGACTATTAATTTGAAGAAAAATTAAACCAAAAAGGAAGTGTAACCGATACAGTATATATAAGAAATTTAGTGTTTTTGTAACAATTTTAGTGTTTAGAGTTGTTTATACAATATTGAACATCATAAAATTAAGAATTTAAGAGTGATCGCTTTTGGTACAGTACATAAGTTTTTAATAAAGTGAAGTTGACCTTGATGGGATGCAAGTGCAGGCTTAATATGAAGGCATTCTGTGGGGTGAGTGCGCCTCTGCAAGGCTCATGAAGCAACAAGCCTGCTTTCACTTTTCTCATAGCAGTCAAGCTAACTACAGAGTTAGTGTGAGACAGGAAGTTGTTTTTATAGCTATTAAGTGCATTCTGAATGGGTGATATTTTGGGGATAAACTTGTTTTTGCATTCATAATGTTTCATCAGCCAATATTTACTACTTTTCTACATCTATGTATAAAATATGCATTTCCTGTTTGGGAGATTTTGCTTTTTACCCTGTCACATGTACATATTTGTGACAACTGCAGTTACCAGTCAGTGTCACCTTTTTTTTAATTTTTTTTTATTTTTTAACATTGGTTTGGCTTAATGTGCATTTGTTTAGGGTGCATGGTAGGGAGGACCTTGGTAATTATGTTGACAAATAAAACAGCCAATGCACAAGCACTTTCCCCACAGCTGTGGTCTTCAAAAAGTGGTCTCAAGAACATCACTACTGTTGAGAAGTTAAAAATTAATCTGATGTCAACTTTTCTGCAGGTCTTGCTTTTACATTTTGTTTCAGTTTAGTCGCACAATTACAAAGTTATCTTGAAGACAAAGTTAGTTCTCAACTTTTAGAGCTGCACATAGTCCTTTAATTAATTTTGAATCTGCTGATAAATTAGAGGTTCATGTAAATTCACAACACAAGCAGGCTGAAGACTTCATAATTTAATTAGGCAGCTGCCTATGGCAAATATTCTCATTTTTAAACCACTACATGTATGATAACTTTAGCTATGTTTCAGACTCGGAATAATAAAACACAAAAGATTTTACTCATCCCCTGGTGGGAAATTCAGAAGCCAGAGCTAACTCAAATTGTAAGCTTATAAACGAGGTAATAAAATGAGCTTCACCTTCACCAGCTGCAATATTAAATGTGAAATACACAATAATAAATCAGTAATTATAATCAAGTAATAGGCTATGATATATACTATTGTGAAATGTGCCATTCTGCATGAGTACTTTTGCTTTACGTACATTTTAATGCTATTAATTTAGTGCCTAACATTTTGAATGCAGGACTTTTACTTTTGGAATATTTTTACACTGTAAGCAATCTTAGTACTTCCTCCACTACCGCACAAATGCGATTTTTACAAAAACATAAAATAAAGTCTCTGTTATTGTGGGAATCTAACAGGAAGTGGCTTTTCCGGTAGCCGCTAGCTTGACGCTAATGAACATTTGTGCTTCGGTTGGTCCGCCTCACTCCTCCCAGCCATACTGTTCCCGTCGCGAAGCGTCCAAGTGGAGGAGGAAAAGGAAGAGGGGGAGACTGGTCGTACTGAGAAAGAAGAAACAAAGTATATGACAGTTAAATACTAACACCAGCCGTCTACGGAAAGGTAAAGCAGTAAGAACCGGCAGCTGTGAAGTCGATAGTGCGGTCCGTGTAGAGTTGGTGCTCCACTGTCTATGGTGTAAACACGTTGGTGTAGTTGTGACATTGCGCCGTGAGCGACAGAGCAGAGGGAAAGGTCTCCTCCCAGTCTGTTGACGGATACAGTTTGGCTTAAGTGAAAGGAGACACGGCTAGACCTGACTGTACATTTCCCCGGCCAGGTAAGACTGCCATGTGTCGATAAACTGTCACATTAGGAGCTGACATGGCGCGGCTTTTAATTGAAGCAACAGCTGGTCTCAATCTGGTCTGCTGTGAGACATATTTACTGTCACTGCTGCAAGCTTTCACAGTCTCTGTCCGTTTATGCAACACTTCTGTGGCACCCCAGCTAACTCAGACCCAGTAATGTTTCATTTTACACGTCTGTGATTCCAGTGACCACGCATACACACACACTGCTTCATTTATGTGGTATTCAACAGGTGATAGCTAGTGCTGCCTGGGCCCTCTGTCCTCATTACCCCCCACGGGCCCCACCCACTCTTTGCTACATAAATGACTTATTTTGTAAAGCAAGCAGATTGTTCCAGAACAGAATAGCACTTTTTAGAGATGTGTAAAAAAAACCACTTCCTTCACGCGAGACGATTATGCAACAGGCAATCACTTGCAACACTGTACAGTCCAACATGAACCAACTGGATTATGATGAAGAGCTGAAGTGGAGGCCCCACACAGGGAAGTGGCTGAGATGTATATATGGAGCATCAACAGCCCTGTTGATGTCCCCTGGCCATTAGCAAGGACAGAATACAGGCAGGCCATTGATAAGGCCAACTCATTAGTACCCCATTCACCACATCAAAGTCCCCCTCTCTGCGCCCAGTCACACTACACACTGGAAGCACTTCCTGCCTTCACACTGGTGACAGGGTTTGTGCACAAAATTTTGTTATGAAGGAGCAAACAGCTTTATGACAGACACCAGGCAAGAGGATGCGCCTCAGAAGTGAAGACAGGAGCATGTGCAGCAAAATCTGTCAGTGTGTTGCTCATGAATGCACCCACAGGTGGTCACAGCTTATTTATGTATTTGTATTTACAGTATTTGTGCATCTGTGCTCTAATTTCCTGCATACAGTACACTAGTATCACTGGTCATAGCAGAAATGTGCAGTCCTCTGTTGTTGTTTTATCAGAAATGAAAATAATGACATCCATGAACAGCTGTTTTGCCTGGCACACAACCTTGGAACGAACACCATCAACGTGTATTTTCAAAATCAGAACATTCAAATGAATTTTTAATGTCATTCCCTCATTTAAATAGATGCAATGTTGAGGTAAAAATGTGACCATTAATAGTTTTCAGCTTCTCTCTACTAGCTTTGGTGGCATGGCCTGTATTTGGACTTGTGTGAGCGGGTTAGACCAGTATCGCTGGCAGGATTTAACATGACGTGTGATGCATGTAAATTGATTAGTAGCAGGAGGAGGGGTCTAGGTGGCTGAGAGGGGAACAGTATCCTGCTTACTGCAAGGATTAGATAAACAGGACTCCCTGCACAGCTTGAGATTGAGCGGAGGATCGATTTTATTCTCCTTTCTCTGGCCTTGCCTTTTGAATTTAATTTGTGGAACAATGGATGAACTGTTGGGATCATGGGGGAAGCAACACACGCAGCTGTAGCCGATGCTGTATAATACCATATCGGCTTCCAGCTTGCTATTGAGGCATCTCCTGGTTCATCTCTCTTCAGATACAGAATGTAGCCGGACTCGATCTGCAGCTCTGTTGGCAAGTTTCTGACAGCCAGCCAGCGTGGTGCAGGAGGAAGATGTGGTGGCAGCCACTGTCTGAGCCTCTCTCTGGGCCAGGATTCATTTCCTCATAGGGCTCTGTGTGTGGATTCCCCACTGGTCTTTCAGTGTACACAGTTTTTTGAAGTAGGAGGTGGTGTGTGTATGTGCTTGTGCATACATGCTGTGTTGACTTTTGAGTGTTCCTACTACTTCCTTACTGGGCAATGTGATTCATATATTTTCTCAACATGTTACACCACACACAGAACATTCACACAGTGTAATTAATCACTGTAGTAATATATAAAGCACAACACCATGAGAAATTACAGCATGCGGTTTTCACTGTTTTCTGACAATCTAGAGATAAATGGATTTAATTTAGGAAAAAAATAACAATCAACTTCTTCACTTATTAAATAATTGTTGGTAACACTTATTAATATTCCCAGTTTTAACTTTCACTTAGTTTTCAATTCTTCTTTTAAGAAATGTAAACATCATTAGAGCAAAAAAGATTAGTCAGTAAATAATTAGGCAATCGAAACATTATTCATGTGCAATTATTTGATAATTAATTTGTCATTTTAATAATTCTTCAGGCAAATGTTTTAAACATTCACTGGTTCCAGCTTCTCAGATGTGAATCTTTTCTGTTTTTATCACAGTAAACTTAAAATCTTTGGCTTTTGGTTTGTTGTTCTGTCATCTTGGTGTTTCAAGATGGCAACGGCTCAGTGCTCCCTGAAATACTGTCTTTTAGCTATTTTCATCTTAGAAAAACATTGTACAATGACTGTTCTGCCTTGGCCTTTGTGAAACTGATGCACTTTTCATTGCCTCTGACAATTTACAGATCAGAATCATCTTAATTTGCCAAGTATATTGAACACACAAGGAATTTGACTCTGGTACAGTGACTCTCATTGTGTCTTTGTAAGAAGAAACAATTAATAGAATAATTGAGACAATAACTGATAGATAATAATTAATCATAAGTTGCAACATGTTTGTCTCCTATGTTTTCTGTCCTAAAGATCTTTTGTTCATTGAGCAAAATATGCCAAAGTTATCAAACGTTAAATGTCAATGTAAACACAAGTAGACTTATGAGAACGTTCTTAAATAACTAAATAAAAGTCAGTCAGTAACTGTATGAGTAGTAAGTAAGTAAACAAGTTTAAGAATATGATGAGACATTTGATGTCAACACTCCGTGCTTGATACTAGGGTGCAGCAATATTACAATATATACTGCAATGGTTTATATGGATTTTATAACCGTGGTCATGTAGCAGTGTGTGATATATATAGTTTACGATAATATCTTAATTGTTTTATTGATGTTTGAGCTGACATCAGTTGCATCACTTTACAAAAAACAACTAAAAGTAAACTTTGAGAGGCCACACATTCACTGCATCATGTAGACTGGTTGGATAGACTACTGCATGTTTTTCTCAGAATTCTGACTTTTAAAAAAAGTCAGAACTTTTTTTTTTTTTTTTTTACTGTGGTCCTAATCCTCTTCCATAAGTTAGTATAGGACTTTATCACACATTTATGAAGGATGCAAAATATCATATGCTTTTTGTTATTGCAGACCGCTATGGTCATGTTCCATTTAATTTCTCTGGGGTGTATTGGACCACTGCTGTCAATCAGTGATCAAGAGTGCCAATAGCAGTATTGATTTTTACATCAATAAGAGTGAGTAACTTGAGTGGCTATAAACAAGCAAATAACAAGGTTATTTTATCCATAAACAGTTTTACAATCGAATATTCTGAAAATTTACGAACAGTTTTCGACAAACCCATTGGTTGGTGACAAAAAAAAGATATTTAATACCCAGCCCAAGTACCTGAAGATATTTAACTGTTTTAACAATATCAAATGATGCTTTTTTCTTTCTAATTATCACGCCCAACTATGCCTCCATTTTTCCTTTCTCTTCACAAACTGCCAATGATTTTACTAGCATTTCAGAGTTACAGTATGTAAAGACCTATTGTAGCCCTTGAAGGTTTGTTGGAGTTGGTGCGTTTTGTGTGTGTGTGTGAGTGTGTGTGTGTACACTCAACGCTGTGTGTTGGGAGTCACAAGGCTGAGCCTACAGTAGCTGGTTTGCTTGAATACCACCCTACCCAGGAGCAGTTTTACTGAGAGGTGTGGTGGTGACTTTGTGGATACAGAGTCACACCCATCTGTTGGTTTGGCAGCAGAATGACTTGCTTTCATAAAATACCAAGCGTTACTGGATCCTGTAATCCCTACTGGCTCAAAATAGACGAACTCAGTAACATATCTTTTCACATTAGCATTGTGCTTTTTTTGTCTGCTCTATTCTGAATATCATTTAGAAGCTACCAGGATTTAAATGTGACAGGTCAAATATAAGAAGAGATTTTTGAATAAGGCAAGTTAGTGCTCACTTAATAATTGGGTCAACTTCAGATGTACATGTTCACCAAACCAAACAGGAAGCATTGTCATGACAACTGTCTCATTTAGGTAAGAAAAATTGTGCAAGTAACTCCATTTCCCCTCATTCCTGTAAAATATGTCAAGATTGTTCGATTGGTGGTCAGGGCTCTCAGTTTCTTTCCTGCCTTTGCACTGACGGTCTGCCTTTTAATATCTGGGACAGACTGGTCACGTGTAGGACATGTTAAAAAGTGTGTTCCTTATGTAGTTATGTGTCAGACGAAGGAGACAGTTAAGAGACAGAAAAGTAGAGCTGGCATCCCCACCCAAACGACGAACGCTTAAATCCACGTGACAGGAAACATAACTTTCTTCTCACGACTACACTGCTCATCTTAAAGGTAGGGTTGTACCTGCAATCTGTCAGTCAACTCAGTCTTGGCTGGACTATTTGTTATTTATTTATTGTTTAATATATATGAGGGAGAGACTGTCAGAAAATCAACTGGAATGAATGTCAGTGATGGTTTCGAGCACTTTAATATAGGTGAAGGGAACACATGATACAAGATTTAAATTGCTGACTGTTTAAATTGATGCTGAAGCTGGAGCCAACCCCAGCTGACATTGGGCGAGAGGCAGGTCGCCAGTCTAGCACAGGGCTGACACTCAGAAACAAACAACCACACACTCCCGCACTCACTCCTACCGGCAATTTAGTCACCAGTCAACCTAAGCTGCATGTCTTTGAACTGTGGGAGGAAGCCGGAGTACCTAGACAGAACCCATGCAGGCACAGGGAGAATATGCAAGCTCCACACCGAAAGGCCCCGGGTCGGCCCGGGTTTGAACTCGGAACCTTATTGGTGTGAGGCGACTGCACCACCGTGCCGTGCTGTTTGTTTAATTTTTACCATTTTATGATGTTTTACAAATGATCAACCTATTCATAAAAATGCCGAATAACTGATGATGACTTAAGTGTTTG